CTATCTATCTATCTATCTATCTATCTATCTATCTATCTATCTATCTAAATTGTATTGTGTATATGTAATCAATCTAACTCAAATTTGATTTCATTTATTTACTTTTAAGGATTTAATTTAAATTCCTCTCAGTTTTTATGGGAGATCCAGGCTACTACATGAAGGCAAAGTACACTTCTTGACACTGAAAAATATAGTGCTTTCTAATGTAAAAAAATAGTTTCAGAATATTTTCTTAAACTGCATGACCTGCAAATATATATTCAATTCATGTAAAGTTCCTGTATTTTCTGTAAAATGCATAATATCAAACAATGCTTTGTTATAGAGCACAATGCATACATTTCTTTTTCCGTTTTCCCCAATTCTTTCTATAAAATTTAAAAGAAATTTAAAATTACAAAAATAGTAGACACATTTTCACCATAGTATGAAACCTGATTTTGATGCAATATAAAACAAAACAAATTCCAGTTTGTCTAAAAAAAAATGCTCAGAATCAGTCTGTTGGAACGGATCATTTTAGCTATTACATCTAACTCTCTACTGACTGCAGGAATCCAAATTAAAGCATCCATGATAAATGGCTGTCTAGCCTCACACAAATACATTCAGTGAACAGGGGTCCAACATCTCTCTAGGTAATTGTATCTATCCATTGTCAAACTCTTTTCACAGTTAGGAAGTCTTTTTCACCCTAAGATTTAATCACAATCTGCCTTTCTGTAACTTAAATCTACTCTATGTCCTGCAATCTGGAACAGCAGAAAATAGATCGATACTTTTCACTGCAACAGCCTTTCAGCTATTTGAAGTTTGCTAGCATATCTTCCATCATCTTCTCAAGTCCAAACTTTTCCAAGTTCTTCAAATCTCAGATCACATGACTTTTTCAACGATGCCAAGCTGTGCTATTATCTGTCCTTTGCATTTATGAAATTTCATTGTTATTTCCAAACTATTCCTTCAATCTCTCAAAATCATTTTAAAATTTGTCTTTATAAAAGTATTACATTAGAAGCATTTGTCACTCAAATGAGTGCACCTTTAAATAATTCCATTTTATTATACTCTACCCAATAACTGATTAAATTAAAATTTAATTTAATTAAAAATTAAATGTAAAAAGTAGTGAGCTAGTAATATATCCACTAAATACTCTTGCTATCCAATCTATTTAATTAGAGTACAGAATGTCATAGATACTTGTCAAAATGCTTTAAAGCTACTTGGACAGCATTTCCCTAATCTACAGGTTAGTCCTGAACATATGGATTGGTCAATTAACAACTTAATTGAACTTACAATGTTGTAAAACATCACACTATACCCTTTTTTTGTTCTCTTTAGGGAAAAGTTTTGAGATGATTGGACTGCAAAATTTTAGGGTGGAAACATATAGATTCTATGGAGATTTTCAGTCATCAAGGTCATGGTTGTCCCAAAGGTGCTTTTCAAAAAGCAACTGGACTTTGTTTTTTCCTTGAAGATATTTCACTTCTCATCCAAGAAATTTCTTCAGTTCAGTACAAAGAAAATCCAGCTGCCTTTTCAAAGCACCTTTTGGGACAGTCATAGTATAGCTTTCATTTGTTATTGAGCTCAGACAGAGCAGAGATAAATAGTTGAGAGAGACAGATCACAAGAGGCCATAAGGCTCAATATCTCTTGCTCTCCCTGTTTAATATCTATGAGACTACTGAGTAAGGTCTTTATAAAGTATGTAACAATATGTGGACAGAATGTATTTCATTCTAAATTAAAAAAATTAAAGATCAGAGATTTCATCAATACAATTACTACCTAGTGCTATAGAATCTCAATTATAGTGCTGCACAAGTACAGTTATGTAGTAATGACAAGATGGACTCAGCCATTCTAATATTTACATCTGGCTCATTACAATTTGAGCAACAAACCAAATAATGCACAATTATAATTTATGCTAATGTGCAGAGTCACACAATGATCTAAACAGAAAAGTGTATCATTCTCTATTCCATTATTCAACTCTGAAAGCTAAGGGTGATCATCTTTCTACCTTATCATATCAACGTTCTAATTCATTCACTGTTTAAAATGCTTGAATGAAGAGAGATCTCAATCCATTCTCCTCTTTAAGAAGGGAAGGGCAAACTAAGGATTGATATTCCGGTCTGCAATTAAGTCACCAGAAAAGCTTAAGTTTTTCCGAAGCTCTCTGCTTAGTGATGCCTCCAGATTAAACTCTCTTTTTATCCTTTCTAAGAGCTATTAGAATCCACATCCTAGGTAACCTTGGTAACAGAAGCTAGCCAGCATAATGCTTTATGGCACTGGCCAACTTAAATGTGCAGTAAAATACATGGTAGCTCCTTGTCCCTCAGGCTTCTATTCTGGACTTTGAGTTGCAAAAGGGGTTGGGAATAAAAGAACAGAAGACAGCTTTTCTGGCAAACTATTTCTTTCTAATTCTACTTCAGTGTGCTTTTGTTAATTGTTGCAGTTGCCTATCAGTACAAATAAGTAATTGAGACAAATACTGTGTACTGCTGTTCGTATTAAGTATTGAAAATCTCATGATGAGGTGCCTTCATTTCTGACTTTGATAATACAATACAGACACACACACAAAATTATATTTCTCTCCAAAATACAACACAAAATTGATGCAAAACTATTCAAAGGTCATTTAGGTAGCTTTGCGGTTGTTACATTTCCCAAAAAGTTCAGCATAGTTCCTACTTTAAAGGTTTTTCCAGGTGTTTTCTACATCCCCATGAATACACAGACAACCTTTCTTGGTTTTTTGAGAGGGGAAGATAGATTTATTTACTTTCCTAATTTCATACATGATGCCTGAAATATATGCTAATTCACAGATTTGTTTTCCATGAATGCTTATAGTGAACACAGAATCATAGAGCTGAAAGGCACCTTGGAGATCTTCTAGCCCAATGCCCTGCCCAAGGCAGGAGTCCTTGCATCATGGTAGACAAATGGTTGTCCACTCTTTTCTTGAAAAGTTCCAACAATGGAACCAGTGGTGGTATTCGACTGATTCTGCCCGGTTCTGGAGAGCCGGTAGCGGCGATGAGCAGTCAAGACCGAACCGGTTCTCTGCGCTGCTCTGTGTTCAGCCCACCCTCCCGCCCGGTCTCCCATACTCACTTTTATCAGCAGAATTCAAAGCGCAGCTGCTTTGCACGGCGTATAATAGTGCCGCACAGCAGCCGCTGCAGCGACCACCATAGTGCAGACTTGCAGGAGGCAAGTTAGAACGCCTCTGCGCCTGCGCAAAGTGCGTGTTTGGCACGCGTGTGCACGCAAAGCGCACCCACCAAGCCACGCTCACCGAACTTGTAGCAACT